AGTCTTGGAATTATTATGACAGAAATTTCTACAGGGACACCACCTTATTACGATATTGATTATGACGAAGGGCTAGCTATTAAAATATGTAATGGTTTACGTCCAGAATGTGCTAAAGGCACCCCTGAATGTTATACCCAATTAGTAAACCAATGTATGAATGCTAACCCTTTACAAAGACCAACTGCGTCGGATATTTATAAAAAATTAAGTAGTTGGTATAATATGATACGCTATAATTTGAAATCAAATAATGAAGAGTTAGCCGTAAATGAATCTTTTCGATCTGCTGATGCAATTATTCCAACATTACAAGTATCGCAAAATTATTCTCGATTTAAACTTACAAGTAAACTTCTTAACTTTCAAAATCTTTCTAACCCGGTCAATTCGTCTTTTATTCCACCTGCAAAATGTTCAACTTGTTATGGCAAGTATCATGTTTACTAATTATTTGATCTAAAAAATATGCATTTATTGATTTACCTTTTTTTCTTTTAGATTCTACATCACAAGACTTTTCAATTCTTGATGAATAGAAAATGCATTTATTTATCATTTAAATACTTAGATTAACTTCAAAGTTCTATTATCAATATTTGTCCTTTTTTTCGAAGAAAAGAATTTGAATTAGAAAAAAGTATATCATAATCTCGTTATAATTAATAAGTTAAGGTTGATGATCTCCAATATGTTTGTCTGGTTTTTAGGTTCATGAGTTCTATCAATGGATCTTTAGGACAAATATCAAAATTAGGTTAGCCTAAGTTTTAAAACTTATATTTGATATTTTTCATCTTAGCTATAATTATGAACATCAAATCGCATCAAATTATTTATATAGTACTGAAATTTTGTTATATTTTGCTATTTTTTATATTTATTATATTATACATATATTTTTTTAAAAAATTAGATTTTATTTAATAAAGATTCAAAAGGATTAAAACCAAGACATAATTTGTAAATCTATATTGTATTAAGGTATGTTTTTTTTTTTTTTTTTTTTTTTGCGATAAAATTTATAGGTAAAAATTTTTAAATATTTGTTGTACCATAATAAAAGTTCTTAGCATTATGTAAAATTTAAAGTTTAATAATGAATAATAACTTAGTACTCTAAGTAAATGGTCATAAAGGTATAAATTCGAGGCATTTATTTTATAAATCGAAAATTCGATAAAAAAAAAACATGTCACAAGCTTCTCTATAATTATAGTGAACTCTCAATGCAGTAAAAACTTGATATAACGAAGGATTTTAAATTAAAAATATTATAGGCTATAATAACAGCATTATATGCTGTACTATATTAAGAGTTATACTTTCAAGGTTTTTAATATGCTAAGCAGTTTAAATTTATAACTAGAGATTGAACATTTTTGATATGGCTACAATAAATTACCCGAATAACCGGGTAATTTAATAATACCCGGTAGAGATTTCTTGACAAGTACAGTCTCTGTTTATGGTATTGTTTCTTATAAATACTTGAAACATGCAAACAAATCTAACCCGGTTCTCTTTAAAGTGACTCACTTAGAGCGGGTAGTCCGCAATCCCTTCACCGACAGCTTAGTTCACGACAGTTAATTCACAGACAAGTTCATTTCACCGACAGTTTAGTTCACGACAATTAATTCACAGACAAGTTCATTTCACCGACAATTATTTCATTTCACCGACAAAGTAATTCTGGTCATTATTGTTAGTGTTAGGTTAGAATTAAAGGTAAGGTTAGTTTAATTTATAAAAAATACTTGACGGTAAGTTAATTTTCGGTGAAATGAACTTGCCTGTGAATTAATTGTCGGTGAAATGAACTTGTCTGTGAATCAGGGACTCGGAAATTGTGATTAAACCAAATCACACTAAATCGCATAATTTTACATCATATTTATATTCTCCGATTAAAAAATTGCGTATTAATTTATTCTCCGATTAAAAAATTGCATATTAATTTTTTAGTTGAGCGCAGTATTTAAAAAATTGCAAAGTTTTTTTTACGAGTAAAATTTGCAAAAAACACTAAATCGCACTTTTAAATTTTAATCATCAGCAAATCGCATATATTACACATACCGCACGCACGCATAATTTACAAATTCTTATCGCATAAATTTCGTGTCCCTGCGGTGAAATAAACTTATCGGTGAATTAATTGTCGGTGAAGTGATATAACACGTATCCCTTAGAGTCAATGAAGTATCCAATCCAATTGATTTTACTGTATTAAAAATAAGCCTCCAATTCTTCCAATATTCTAATTAATAACACTGCACCTAAGGCTGGTTTGAGATTAGGTAATTTCATGTACGTAAGTAAAAGCCAATTCAATCATATACAGTACGATTTATGACAAAAATAAAACTCAAAATTTGCTGTTACTAGAGATTGGAGCTGATTAATTATTAATTAATCGGTTAAAAAAATCATGAACGGTTAAAACCCGGTTAATATAAATAAAGTATAGTTCCGAAATTAAGCACCCCCGAAATTAAACACCATCAAATTTTATGTAATATCCGAAAATAAGCACCCTCCTATGCATAACTGTATCTGATTTTTACCAAGCAAGCCTACTTTATGTTTCTAAGTAAAGTTATTCTAACAGCAGTAAAATTATCAAAATTGGTTCAGTAGAACTCTCACAATTACTCTTCAAAGTTCGGGCGACTTTTGTTTGCGAGTATGCAGATCATGTAAAGCAAACGTAAACAAACGTCACCCAAATTTTGAAGAGAATTGCGAAAGTTCTAATAGACAAATTTTTATGATTTTACTGCCGTTAGTATCGTCTTGACCTGGGGAACAGTTTTACTTAGAAACAGAAGGTAACTTACTTAGTACAAAAATTCTATATTATTTATTCTCAAAATTATATCTGAAAATAAGCATCTCTTATAACAAAAAAGTGTGCTTAATTTCGAAACTATTTGGTTTACATGTGATGCACATTAATTCAGGAATATGGTATTCTAGAATTTCAAGGTTTACATAATCATAAAGGTACAGGAATAAGCTCTTTCTTTTTATTTTAGAGCTAATTACACACTATGATGGAGAATTAAGTATTTAATCAGGATGCAACGTCTAAGTTTTCAACAAGATATGAGTACTTATCAATAATCAAATACGCTTTAACAACGTTTGGAACTCTAATAGATTATGAATGATATTTAGAAAGTTCTCATAAGACATCAGTTTTTACAGAAGACAGAGCAATATGCATATAAAGCGGATTTTATATTAGCCATCTAATTAATCGGTAAAGAAACTTTCTAACCGGCCATTAACTGTTAATGTTTTTTTGGTCGGTTCCGATTTATGTTGCAACAATGTCACTCGTAAATTTAAGAGTAACGCACGATCGATGTTAAATTTATTAAAATTTAAATGTACTCTTTTATTACGTAGAAATGAATATTTCTTTGATCACGTATTACATAAATTTAAAGCAAAGAAATTTTTTTAAAAAAACTTATTTATATATTTACATCGTTTTGTACATAGTAAAAAAAATTTTTTTAAACAGAAAACGTTCGTTTGCTCAGAGTTGACAAATCAATTTATAAAAATTAAATTGCTTATCGTTATATTATTCATAAATTACCTACTTTTTAACAAATAGATTTGTTTTCACTACCTTTGCCAAATTTACGTTAACATGATTTTATCTTAAGAATCGAATAATTTTATAACGTTTGTTTAAAAAAATAAAAAAAACCTTCGAAAACAATAAGACAAAATGATGGAATTTTTTAAATGTTCGTCTAGTACAGTAATACAAACTTTATATTCCCGTATTGCATCTTCGCTTCTGCTACCTTGGATATAACTGTATCATACACGAACCTTCTTAAACTTTATCTTGACCGGTGTGTTCAGGTGCTTGGTAAAATTTTTCAAATAGACAATTGATTTCTTAAATCATCTCGGTTCGATTTAATTAAATGAGTTCTTCAATCTTACTAATATTATGAATTTTGAAAGTATGAGTAATCCAATATTTAAACCCTAAGTTACATGAAATTTGGATTCCTTAGTATTCGAATATTCATAACGTAATTGATAAATTTCCTTCAATATTCAATAGAAGGACTCGTGATCAAGAAATTGTATCTTTGTTTCCATAGTTATTACGGGAGAAAAAATTTTTTTATAAAATTTACTTATTTACAAATTCAAAAGTTAGTATATTAATTATTACTAACTTGTAGTATGATAAGTTTAATAATCAATGTTATTAATCGATCTAATTATTTTCAATCGGTGGAGATTGAAAAGATAACATCAATTGAGAATTTACAAATTTTTTGATCGACCAGAACGTTCAAACCAATCTCATATAACAAAATTACTATACTAAAAGTACAGGTTACTAAAAAAAATCAATTCTCGACTATTTGGCTCTGTGATTTTTTAATGACAATGTTTAAAATTTACGTCAAATCAAAATAACTATAATGCCGCTAACAAAACTCGTTAAATTTTGATCTGACGCAAATTTTAATTTGATGTACAACATCAATAAGGAAAAAGGATCTTGTTTTGACATACGAGTGGAAACTATCCTAATTTTTGTTAAGAGTCACTCTACAGGAATAAAGTTATCATCGGCTCATTCTGCCTTTGTTCGGTTTCAGATCAAAATCAAAAACATATCATGATCGTTATCACTACGTATAAAACGTGTGCTGTTAACTACATAATCTGCAATAAGAAACTGATTTAAAGAATTTGCATACGGATAATTAATCTTTAGTATAGTTGACATAATCATCAAACAAAGAATCATAAAATTTTTTTTATAGTTACCGTAAAAATTAGATTGATGAAAAATATTAAACGACAGTTTATAATAAAATTAATTGCAACATAATACTTAATTGATACAATTTCATGATTTAATTCTATTACTATTTATTAATTGCTACCTTATCCTTTCTACCATTTATTTCGAAATAGTTTACACAATTATCTAATCTGCTACTTCCTTTCTATCTATTGATATCTGTTATCACTACCACAACTCTATCTACCCTTACTTCAGAACTTTCATTATCCGCACTTACTCTACACCTTTTATTATTCATATTTATTTTATGTCCTTTATCATCTTCGTTTACTCCGCTTCTCTTATTATTCGTGTTTACTTTAGATCTTTCGTTATTAACATTTTCCACAAAACCTTTATTATCTTCATTTACTCCACTTCTCTTATTCGTCGTGCTTACTTTAGATCTTTCGTTATTAACATTTTCTACTACTAATTTTTTAGTATTTTCTTTACGTAAATGATTTGTCTTTTTATCTTTCATTTTCGTCTTTTCATCATTAATTTTCGTCTTTTTATCATTAATTTTCGTCTTTTCAACCTTAATTTTTGTCTTTTGATCATTAGAATGATTGGTTTCTTCAAATTTTATTCGTGAATACACTTTCTCTCTATGATGCTTCCTCAGATGACTTTCGTAAGGCTTATTCGCATAAAAAATATTCCCACATCCTGGTACTTCACATTCCATTGGAAACTTAAGAGTATGTAAATACATATGTTTTTCGACAGAATAAGTTTTATCAAATCTTGAATTACAATAATGACACTTATATGGATGTATGGTTTGTTCATGAACTTCTAATTCAGATTCGGTAGCAAAGGATTTTCCGCAACTAGTTTTCTTACAAACTATTAATCTTTTCACTTTTTGTTTATTTTCATACGATGGTAGAATGATGGTTGAAGTTCGTTTGGGATTTGAACGTGTTGGTATAGTATTCTTCATAATTTGTTGATTATTTAAAGTTTTCTTTTGATGGGAATACGAAGATAGGGTTTTTGATGGAAGCTTAGTTATTGGATCTATTAATGGTTGAGATAATGTAGAACGAAGTTGACGCAATTGATATGCTTGAGTGTTTGTTGATTGATTCATATCAAGGTAGGAATTTGATGATGTAATATTATGTTGTAATGTTTTATTACATTCCGGATGGTTGCAACCGAATTGCAAAGGATCTTCAATGGAATGAAGCGTGTTATTATCAACTGACTTTGATGTTTGTAATGACTGAGAGTATGAATTATTCCCTATACATTATACATGTCATTATATATGTCATTATATATGTCATTATACACGTGTGAAAATTTTTTAACTATTAAAATTAAACTTTTTTAATAATGATATTAATAACATATGAACTTACATTTAGCAGAGCTTGAAAATGTATCTGATAAACGAATGCAAGTAAATTTTGATCTTGAATAATTTTGAGGCGTTTTCAAATGTTCATCTGCTGAATCAGAATAATCGGAAGGAATATTAGACCTGGGTGTGGATAATAATTTAGAAAAGGATAAAGTATCTATTGAAAAAAGAAATTTTGTTAAATTATTGTGTAAAATATCTAAATATGATTATTTTTTCGAATATATTACATGAATACATTACATTGAGACGTATCGACATCCAGTTTCTGCAATTTACGGCAAAACGAGTCCATAGAATTTTCACCCTCACTATTATAATATTCCGTGGTAAGCTCTTTTTGATTCGCAGTGTTATTAATATTTCTAGAAACTTTTTTCATAATTTTATTAAGTTAGCTTCTTCATAATTTTATATCGTAAATAATTTTAACCGAAAAAGAAATAACAATTACCAGGTGCTTGGTATTCTCTATATTTTAAATTTTTAATCTTTAAATTGATCATTTCATCATCTGAACCTGTTTAATAATTATCAGTAACTGGAATTTTTTAGGAAATGTACCTAAAAAAAATATATTACCAGAATCACTTGATTGAGAATAAACAAAATCTCGAGGATCATATCCCCCTTCGTCATCATTATCCATGTTGTTTATTTTTTTTTTAAAAAAAAAAAATTCTTTATGTTTATTAATGATTAAACGAAAAGTTTCATCTCCGACAAGTTTCAACGAGAAAATCTCAATAACGGTGAAAAAAATCTTTTTTCGAAACACAGTGTTTTTATAATTGGCAATTTACGCATGTGTAACTTAATGAATATCTGCATCCTGCAGATCGGTGTTATGTTTACTTTAATTATCCTAAATTTAGAACCAAAAAAAAAATATAAAATTACACAATTTGCTATTTCCGAGTCACATGCATACCTCGTCCAATAAAATTTAAAATTAAACTTTAAAATAAGTTTTACGTATCGTAATTTAATAATAAACAGTTAATGAGTTTACATATACAGTATACACATCACCCTGTTTATAACGATATCCGGATATAACATCATTGTAAAATCTTTCTGTACTGTAATACAGTAATATAAATATGTTAACATACCTCAGTATAACATTTTTTTTGTCAAGTGTCGTTATAACTACTAATAATAAGTTTTATGAAATAAATTTTGTAAAAAATGCTTATTTTATTTTAATAAATAAATTACATTCCTATATTCAATATTATTAAGTCTTTTACGTATGAAGTTGAATTAATTGTTGGCAATTAATAAAATATAAAATATATGAGTCACGTAGTAAGTACACATTAATTAGCCAAAGCAATTTCATTAGATAAAAAAATTCTAACGATAAAGATAATAAAATTATAAAATTTAATAAAATCTTTAACCTCTAAGATTATTGTTATTGAATTCAAAGAAACATTAGTACTCTTTTTTTATAATAGTCAAAATTATATTTTCGAAATTTTTACGACCAGAATAATAACTTTAAAACATCTTAATGTACTGTGATATGCGATAAAAGATCTAAGATAAACAAAATAAACATAAATATGTTAACTAATAGAACATTACTAACTATAACCGGTGGTGATTATCACTGGGTGCTATATCATACAAAACCTACTAGCTAATTCATGTCAGGGATACTAAGCAAAAATGTTCAGAACCTCCAAAATCAAATCCTAACTAAATTTGAACCATTTACTTATAACTCTCTTATATATTCCAATCTAAACCCAAAATAAGAGGCGGTGATGATCACTACCGGTTATTTGTAGTAAAAATCTAACTGGAATATGATATATAATAAAAACATTTCTTAAATGAAAGATACTTTCTTATAGTATAGTTCATACTTTAAAAAAGGAAAAACAGTAATTATTATCGCTCTCTTCAAATAATCATTTCATCACTCAGGAATCTGCAAAATTAAACTACTGTAACATTAACTCTAATCTAACCCTGACAATACCAGAATTAATCGTCGGTGAAATAAACTGTCTGTGAATTAAGTATTGGTGAAATGTTGTATCTACAAAAATGAGCGTCGGTGAAGTGAAATAATCAATATTCTTTGTCATTGTTGAATTATCTGATTAAACCGAAATCATATGATTTAATTCTATAATATACTAACAGGCAAATGTATCTATGTAGGTGGAGAATACCGTAGTAAAATATTTAAGTCAACAAAACCATCGTGATAGTGAGGCTCACGTTCAGAACAAGTTCAGCATTTATAAGAAAATTCTGATTTAAATTTTACGTATTTTGTATCCAAAAACCTGTTAAACATACCGAAGCCCCAAATATTTTATGCAAGCCGCCATCACCATTTTTAATATCAAATTACCCATTATTTACTTCTCGTCAATTTTGATTTTCAATGTAAGTGAATTTGTAGGATTTTATAATTTTATAAAATTTTGATGCGCTATCTTTAAAATTATTGTTTATCTATCATCTTCATGATTCAAGTATATAATGACATTACTCGATAATTGCATTACTAGTCAAGTTAGCGGTTTGCAAAAAGATGTGGCTGCATGATTTCTATGATGATGTTCGGGGAAAATCTCCGAAATTTTAGATTGTTTGTTATTTTATATTTTCGAACGGTTACATTTATATTTCTTTGAAATCGATAAAATTCTGATGGAATCTCCGATTTCCACACGACATTGTGATCTGCAGAGGCCACATCTTCTTGCAAAGCGCAATAAATGAAGAACTTAATTGAGATGAGAAATAATATGCATATTGTGGTATCTTAGGAGGGGCTTTTACAATCAATTCATGGATGAATTTATTGTATTAATGAATACTTTATTCGCTTTTATCTTTTATGTCGAAATACAAAAGCTACGTGAGCATAAATATCAAAAGGTTATTGTTTTATAAAATAATTTCTTAGTCTAAAGAATCTGATCAATAAAATACGCATGTATATTATCAACTTTTGTATAATACATTACTTAACTTGTTCAACTTTTAACTTTTTTCATCTGATTGCAGTCTTTATATAGATATAGATTAAAATAATATTTATCGCGATTTGCAACCTTATTTTTATCTTTAAATTTTGCAAGCTTCCTTGTAAAAAAATGATTTCAAGAATCAATTCTTTTTTATAATCGATTAAACCCCTGAATCGATTCTAAAATCGATAATCGAAATATTAACAGTTAAATGGGATCTTTGCTAGGAAAATCACCCTTCGGGGTTTTCCGATCGGACTAATTCGGAAAAGCTTAGACCAGAATGCCAGTTCTTATTCATATGTAAATCACTTTTTGCTTTATTTATTCGATAGATTATTAAATAAACTGGCGAATCAGTAAAGTAAAAAGATGTTTTACATATAAATAAGAACCGGCATTCTGGTCTAAACTTTTCTGAATTAGCGCAATCGGAAAATCCCGAAGGGTGATTTTCCTAGCAAAGATCCCAAATACTTCGGTTCTAGAAAAATAATGCTCTAAATTTCATCAATACTATTTATTACTCACTAGTACTAGCTAACGCAAAAGAAACTTAATTTGCAGTTATAAAGTTTTTTTTTTTAGTACAGTCTACCCTCGTTTATATAAACCCATTTGAATTGGTTTAAATTCAGTTTGATAGTGATATTAACAAGGGACTATATTAAAGTCGATATATATGAGGGAATTTTAATATATAAAATTTGTAAAATTCATCTTATTGCTTAGGTTGATATTAATGAGGTTGATATTAACGAGAGTAAACTGTATTAGTATTCTTTCGAATAGTCTTATCAAGTACGTATTATCCCTTGGTCACCATAAAGGTAATTTTCACGAGTTTCTATGAATCTTTAACAAAGTGTTGAGTTTTTACAAAGTGATACTGCTAAAGTATTTAACTTAATGCCAAGTCCGTTAAAGAACCAAAGATTTTAAGATTATGTTATTAGCAAGAGCTTCTGATAATGCTTTACCACAATAAACGCTAAGCCATAATTTCTAAAATTCAAATAGACTAGAGTAGTGTTTTTACAAATAACTTCTGCTATTCCTTTTCCATTTTCATGATCAAATTAAATTATAAAAAATATTACATTTTGCGAAAAATTTTTGATAACGTTTTTTCCTTCCACCGATCAAAGTTCATTAATAGCAAACATAAAGAAATAAGATTGCGTTTTTATAAAGAGCTTCAGCCAATGCAATTCTTTCTCTGCACAAATCTAAAATTCGATTATAATTAGCTTCGGTATTAGACATCTTGCACGAGACGTTTCTCTGTTTTGACGATCCGCGTATGTACACTATGAGTATACTATCAAATTTCCATTTTGCTTAAATATTTATTTAACTATATATCTCTTTATAGTATGTTATATCTGTAATCTACATTAGGTTTGTAAATCTACATATAAAATTTTACATAACGCTAAATATATCGACTTGCTCTATTTGTGTTTCACTGAATAATTTATAATCACTTTCTTCATTTTCTTTAATCCTGTAATAATACGATTTGTTTCAGATAAGTTAATAGTTCGACTTGTGAAGTATGCCTCCGAATGTTGTACTGTTGGTTGAATAGAAATTTTTTGAAGTTCCTTATCAGAATTTCGAAATTGTATTATAGCCTGTTTAATTTTATCATCTCTTATATCTTTAATATCTTTGTTATAATTTTCCCAACAACTGTATATAATATATAATATTTAGTCTTTAGCTGTTGGTCGTTTAGAAGGATCCATATCCCAACACCTTCCAATCAATGAAGCGTAAAATTGCGGCACATAATCAGCAATTTGTGGCCTAACACCTTTACAAATATCAACAAAAAGATTTATATTATGCGAAATATTATTAAATGGTGATTCACCAGCTGTAATTTCCCACATAAGCATGTCAAAGCTGTAAATATCTGATTTTTCAGTATAACGTCTTTGTTTTAAAACCTCAGGAGCAATATAAGGAAGTACACCACATATTTCATCATTTTTTAATAAATATTTCTGAACTCGTTGTGACAATCCAAAATCACTTATTAATGGAATATTCCAATCATCATTTTCATTAAAAGAATTACACATCCAATGTGCAAATCTTTATGAACTAGATTTAATTGATGAATTCCAACAAGCCCAAATATATTTGAATTTAAAATAAATGATCGTTTTTCCAATTCATACTACATATCTTTTGTAAATTACTTCTTAAAAAAAGGATCTCAATATTACTATTATGGCATGATCATATGATTTATTACTTGAAACTAAGATAAAACATCACAAAAAAATCAATACAAGATAATACAGTATAATGTACTGGCATTAAAATATATCGTGATATGTTTATTTATTCATATAAGAATTTCTCGACATTAGTCAAGTTCTTAAATTTATTTATTTATTCATATAAGAATTTCTCGACATTAGTTAAGTTCTGAAATAATTTCTTTAATTCGACTATCATCAAAAATCAACGATGATTTTTCAATCCTTTTATAATAGACATTTACTAATGCGTTTACAATTGCAGGTCCAACCCGATTTTTCCCAAGATTAATGAGGGTTTGAGCTCGGTTTTTTTGAAGTGTCTTTAATTATACTCCTTCTTCGAAGCCGAGTTGATTTTCAGCAAGATCCAAATATATTAGACTGGTGTTTTTATTAAGTGCATCTATTAATGATTTTCCACCTTCGGATCTAAGCCGGTTATTTCTACAATATAGATATTTTATAGTATTTTTATAAAGAGCCCCTGCTATGGCTTTTCCGACCTCAGAATTAAGATTATTCTCATTAACGGACAGAGAGATCAAAGTCTTATTGCTACAAAGGACCTTCACTAGTGCTTCTTCTCCCCCTTTAGAACCGAGTCGGTTTTGGCTTATATCTAAATGAGTGATACTAGTGTTCTTACAAAGAATTTCCATTAGTAAGTCGGTTTTCCTTCATAATCAAAAAATTTAAGGTACTATTTCCACAAAAGGCTTTCATGATTGCCTCTCCCCCTTTAAATCCAAGTCGAGTTTTACTAATATCCAGATATGTTAGGTTTGAATTCTTATAAAGGGCTTTTTTAAGTGCTTTTCCGCCTTCACAATAAAGAATATTGTCAGAATAATGCAGATGTGTTAAAGTTGAATTCTTGGAAAGAGCGCTTGACAACTCATTTCCAACTTCGGGATCAAAATTATTTTTGCAAATAATTAAAGTGTTTAAACTACAATTTTGATAAAGTGCTTTCGCAAGTAATTTTCCAGTTTCCGAATCAAGTTGATTACCACTAAGATCAAGATACTTTAAAGTGGTGTTTTTGTAAAGGGTGTTTGCAATAGCTTTCCCTCCTTCAGAACCAAGTTTATTGTTACTGAGGTTCAAATATTTTAAAGTATAATTTACTTCAAGAACCGTTGCTAGTGCTTTCCCATCTTCAGCATTTAAATCATTAACTATTAATAAGTATGATAAAGTTGTATTTTTATGAAGTGCCTCAGATAAAGATTTTATTAATCCAGAGCATAAGTCATTATTAACAATAAACAATTTGTTTAGGTTAGAAAGTATCTTTGCCAGTGACTCATGGGGAAAAAGTTTCGTACATAATAATTTAAGGGACTTTAAGGTTGAGTATTTGTTTATAATCCCTTTTAGTATTTGCCCGTACTCGTATGCAACGTTCAGAGTCTTTAGTTTTTTACTTTTATGTAAAACTAGGGTTCCGCATGGGATGGACTATCCATGGATTGTTCATGGGCTGGCCCAACATGGGCCGGGCTTGGATACTAATATGGATTTTTTGTTGGATCCGGTCTTAAAGATCCAGATCCATATTAAATTGGATATATTCGGATCCATATCCAAAAACCTATGGATAATCCATATGTACCATATACTAATTATGTCGGAATTGTAACAATTTTCTTTTTTGATAAACTCACATTGTTATTTGGCTTGATTAAATTATCATTAA